TTCTGCCTGCACACTTGGCCATGGGTCAAAATCCAAATCGTACCCCCAGTGAACATCCCCATCCCCACTAAAATAGGTTCTAAAATGGGTGGTGAATTCACCTACCCCAAAAAAGGTGACCCATTGGTTTTGACAACCACAGCCACTCGTGCTCTCATGGAGCACCCACTCGGAGCGCAGGCGATAGAAGCGCATGCCAAGGGACAGCCAAACAAACAAACAAAAAGAGAACACGGCACCCAAACGAGAGACCAACAAACGAGGAACGTTCAAAAACGAAAGGAAACCTGGTAAACCCCTGTTAAACCCTCCCCCCCCGGATGCACGTCGCATCTGTACATGAAAGAGATATATTTCAGAATCAGCATTTTGGAGCAACTGCCTCGCTGAGGACTGAGGCTCCCGGCAGAGTTCATGTCTTCTCCCTCGGAAGATCCGGGCGGTGCCGCGTTATGCCACGCTATCCCCGGCAGATTCGACACCCGAGTCCGGAGGGGGTGGGTACTTTAACGCCAAACGAAGTCATCCTGGGAACATCTGAAGAATCAATTGTTTTTGTTCAGGGTATATTCGAGACTTGCATCCTTGTTGGAATGAAAACACGGATTCTAGTTGCTCCTTTGGTGAAAAATCCACACAGCATGACAATCCGACGCGTCGATTTTGAGCTTGTCAACGGGAAACTATGCGACCATAAAGTAAAACTGCAAGAATGTCCGCTCATGCTGGACAATAACAAAGGCTCGTAAACGTGTGTCTGCATGGATGCGCAAAGTCTGTACAGGGCCATGATCCCTGCATCTCTTGGTGGCAAGGAGAGAAAGACAAAGACCTCTGTTGGCATCTCACTCTCTCACTCACTCACTCACTCACTCACTCACTCACTCACTCACTCACTCACTCACTCACTCACTCACTCACTCACTCACTCACTCACTCACTCACTCACTCACTCACTCACTCACTCACTCACTCACTCACTCACTCACTCACTCACTCACTCACTCACTCACTCACTCACTCACTCACTCACTCACTCACTCACTCACTCACTCACTCACTCACTCACTCACTCACTCACTCACTCACTCACTCACTCACTCACTCACTCACTCACTCACTCACTCACTCACTCACTCACTCACTCACTCACTCACTCACTCACTCACTCACTCACTCACTCACTCACTCACTCACTCACTCGCTCTCTCTCTCACTCACTCACTCTCCCTCTCTCTCTCTCTCTCTCTCGCTCCCTCTCTCTCTCTCTCTCGCTCTCTCCCCCAATACACTTCACATAAGAAGCGTTCTAAAATGGGTGTCCCCAACAATGGTTGATGTTATTCCAGATTCCCTTCAAAGCCGTTCAAATTGAGGTCCCCTAGTTTGAGAACACCTTCCCGGCATAAACTGGCAGAGCCTCGTCCGCGGGCCGCGGGCACACTTACAAGACTCCCAGTGCCCTCTCCCAAAGCCTTGGTGTCAACAATGGGCACAAAATTACCACAAGCATATGAAACCTGGCTGGAGATCCCAGAATGTTGCTTTGAAAGTTGTTTCCGAGTTCTGGGTCGGGTGAAAGGGTAAGACAGTGGTTGGTTGGCAAAAGAATCATCCAGTTGCCATTGCCAAGGCCGTCAAAGATTTTGGCGAATACATAATACATGTCCTGAAGCATTCTCTGCAAGGAGCTCGACCAAGCCCCCCCCCCATTTGTTGAAAGCCATCGGCAACCTTCCAAATGCCGATAAGGCAGCCAGTCTGCCATCCACCACCCTCGCAAACACCGAGTTCTGCACGTCGGACAGCGTCTTGTTGGCAATGCCAGATTGGCAGGCCTGAATGCAGTGCAAAGAACCCAGCAATCTCAAGCTTGGAGAAGGAAACTTCCTTCAAACACCACGCACTGAAGGAAGCCAAACGTGCTTTCCGAAACGGGTGCGTGTGCGCGCGCGCGCGTGCGCGTGCGCGTGCGCGTGCGCGTGTGCGTGTGCGTGTGCGTGTGCGTGCGCGTGCGCGTGCGCGTGCGCGTGCGTGTGCGTGTGCGTGCGCGTGTGCGTCTGCGTCTGCGTCTGCGTCTGCGTCTGCGTCTGCGTCTGCGTCTGCGTCTGCGTCTGCGTCTGCGTCTGCGTCTGCGTGCGCGTGCGCGTGCGCGTGCGCGTGTGCGTGTGCGTGTGCGTGTGCGTGTGCGTGTGCGTGTGCGTGTGCGCGTGCGTGTGCGTGTGCGTGTGCGTGCGCGTGTGCGTGTGGGTGTGGGTGCGGGTGCGGGTGTGGGTGTGGGTGTGGGTGTGGGTGTGGGTGTGGGTGTGTGTGTGTGTGTCCGCCATACTGCTCGTTCTTGCACCAAAAAAAGGGCCCACTATTGCGCTGGCTCTCAGTGCTTTCTGATTGCATGAGTGCTGCGAGACTGGAGACTGGTGCGTTGCTATGCCTGGCGACTAAAACCACTGTGGATCTGCACACCTTCTGGATGGCGCGCGCTATGTTTTGCGTTTCGCACTTGGGGACCACAGCCTTGCGCGTCTTTCGTCTCATCGCCTGTAGGCGCCTTCCCCAATTTGAGTCAACAACGGCCGCGGTCGGCCCACCTGAATCTCATCCTCCCAAGTGCCTGAGCAGCGAGGCGGGGGTTGCGTTCCTTGTTGTTGCGGGGGGGTTCGGCAAGGCTGGCCGCATATAAAGTGCGGTGATTCCGATTGAGTAGAGGTGGCTTGGGAGTCGATTCAGCATGATTCAGCATGAAACACAATGCAACCAATGCTGGCAATGCAACAACCTGGAGGAAAATTGCACAACAGAAGGGTAGGCTTCAAGTTCTGTTGGGACGGCTTTCACTTGTTAAAGACAAAACCACTCTTTGGCGTTGTTGGCGTTATTTGTTTAAAGAGCCATAACACGATAGCCCTTCCAATGGTGCAACTACAAGCCCATGTTGGATTTTTTGGGGTGTGGATGCTCAACCTATCCGCGAACGCAGAACACATCCCTTGCAAGGAAGTTGCTTGGGCAGGCAAACTTGTTCATACCGTTCACGTGAAACTGGACAGCCCACACCATGTTGGAGACATGGCGGGTGTGGGTTTCAGGCAAGTGTTGACCTTGGATTGATACTTGATGCCGGCGCTGATGCTGTCTGAATGAGCAGGCAAAAGAACATGCGCTTCTCCGAACATGACGCTTTTCCTTTCAACTCAAAGCCTTTAGAGTGGCATCAGCCTCGACCTTGGCAATTGCGGTTTCATGTCATGGAAAACTGCGGGGATGTACGTGACTGACCAAAACAAGGAGGCGCACAACTCAACTTGCCTTTGCGACTGCCCGGTGCGACTTTTCCGGCCTGGCTGCGGCGGCTCCCTGCCCACAAATCACAAACACCAGCGCGGAATCGGCAACCATGTGGCAGGGATCCTTACATTATACACCTGAACATTGCCTTGTACATGGTGGTTTCCCTTTATTTTAGTGGAAAAACCATGTTTCAAATGGGGAAAACGTATCTTTCAAGGAGCCCTGTTACATTACATTACATTACATTACATTACATTACATTAAATTGCATTACATTACATTACATTACATTACCTTACATTAATACATACATACATACATACATACATACATACATACATACATACATACATACATACATACATACATACATACATACATACATACATACACACATACATACATACATACATACATACATACATACATACATACATACATACATACATACATACATTATACATACATACATACATACATACATACATACATACATACATACATACATACATACATACATACACACATACATACATACATATACATACATACATATACATATACATACATACACATACATACATACATACATACATACATACATACATACATACATACATACATACATACATACATACATACATACATACATACATACATACATACATACATATATACATACATACATTTACATTACATACATAGATTACATTACCTTACCTTACCTTACATTACATTGCATTACATTACATTACATTACATACATACATACATATATATCCTTCTTCACCTGCAGGTTCTGTTCTGGAATTGGGGAAGTGCCGCCGTGCACATGAACAGTGGTCCGGAAAACCATGCGCACGCGCTCCAGCTGTCGCCGAGTAGTCGGGGTCGACCTGACCTCTTCTTCCTCCTCCTTGTCCCAGTTCCCCCTCTTTGCCTGGATGAACGCAGGAAAGCTCGGGCAATGAACCGCCACTGCCTCTTCACGTTCATGTAGGGCTGGCGCCTGTTGCAGAGGGCATGCAGCGGGCCTTTGATTGGCACCCGCTCTCGGAAGCCCGTCATCCTCCTGGGTCTCGGTCTTGTCCGTGCCCATGGCCTTCTCCCCACCCCGGGGCACGCGGCACCCGAGGGCCTCTCGCAGGGACAGCTTGGCGACGCAGTGAGCTCTCCCATCTTCGTGGCAAGGTCACTGGGCTGCACCTCCGTGCCCAAAGGAGGGAGCTGCAAGGCCAAGCGGGCCTCAGCCTCCTGAATGCGCAGGCGCTCTGACTCCTCCCGCGCTGCTGCCGCCTTCTCCTCCGTCACCAGGGTGGCATCCAGCAACTCGAAGGAATCCGTGCTGGCTTCCGGAAAGGCCATGATTTGTACAATGAGGGGTAACGAAAGCAAGGAGTTTGTTTTCTCTTTGGCAAATCCCAGAAGGCATATAAATATATATATATATATACCTTTACATATACATATATACATATACATATACATACATATACATATACACATACATATACATATACATACATTATACATGTGTGTGTGGACTTGGGACAAGCGAGACATGTTTCGACCGGGACTCAAATAGTTCAAGTCGTAAGAAAGGCAAGGCAGCAGGATGTTTCATGTTCTCACAGATTCATCCACTGTCCCCTTCCTCTGCGCAAAAGCGCGCCAAACCCCAGGCAAGGAAGCCACGGAAAGCAGGCCCTGGCCTCTGTTGAATGGCACCTGGCGACTCGGCTGCCAACGGCATCCACCAAACTGGTTGCTTTCCTTTTGCTCACCCTTCAGCCACCCAGAAGTACCCACAAGACACCCAACAAAGCAGCCGAAGAGGGACTACCTCGAAAACGGGTCACCATTGAGCTCAGAAAACCCTTGCAAACAGGACAAAACAAGAGTTGCAAAGAAAGGGACTGTTGCACCACAACGCCTCTCATGGAAAACGCGAGTCGCCTGGTGCGTCCAAGAAATCAGATACCTTGGAGAAGCTTCCAAGATCATTGGCACAAACACTCTCATGAGAAGCTGCACATGAGCTCTCAAACATCGTCTTGCAGGTGATATAGGCAGGGGATGAAAAATGGAGTGGCCCCTATAAACCATCCAACTGGTGGTTTCCTTTGAAGGGATTCCTGGGTTCATTCCCACATTTGTTACTGAGAGCAAGTTGTCTCCCTACCGTGTCCATGTAAAGCTCCGAAAAATCAGCAAATACTTGCAGCTCAGCCAGCCAGTATGTGACCGTTGCTGCACTCACGAAAAACACAGAGGCAAGCATGCAAGTAGACTAAGAAGCTTTGGTGGTCAAACGATTCTTGGCCTCAACTGGAATCGTTGGGCTGCATCGACTGTCATTTTCCCTTGGGCATTTGTCTTTCGTCTACGAGACAAGACTCGATGAGGGGACTGAGGGACCAGGTTGTGCTGGCATCCCTTGCCGGCCCCTTGTTTAGCGGAATCGAAGAAGGTAGCCTGTAGGTTTTGGGGTTTTGGGGTTTGGGGTTTTGGAATTTTGGTGTTTTGGAGTGTTGGGGTTTTGGGGTTTTGGGGTTTTGGCGTTTTGGGGTTTTGGGGTTTTGGGATGTGGGTTTTGGGGTTTTGGGGTTTTGAGTCTTTGGCTTTTTTGGGATTTTGGGTTTGGGGTTTTAGGGTTTTGGGGTGTTGTGGTTTTGGGGCTTTGGGATGTGGGTATTGGGGTTTTGGGTTTTGGGGTTTTGGGGTTTTCGGGTTTTGGGGTTTCGGGGTTTTGGGGTTTTGGGGGTTTTGGGGTTTTGGGGTTTTGGGGTTTTGGGGTTTTGGCGTGTTGGGGTTTTGGGGTTTTGGGGTTTTGGGATGTGGGGTTTTAGGTTTTGGGGTTTTGAGTTTTTGGATTTTTAGGGTGTTGGGGTTTTGGGGTTTTGGGGGTTTTGGGGTTTTGGGGTTTTGGGGTTTGGGGTTTTGGGATTTTGGCGTTTTGGAGTGTTGGGGTTTTGGGGTTTTGGGGTTTTGGTGTGGGATGTGGGGTTTTGGGGTTTTAGGGTTTTGGGGTGTTGTGGTTTTGGGGTTTTGGGGTGTTGGGGTTTTGGGGTTTTGGGGTTCCTAGAGGCCTGCTCTGATATCTGACCAGGCCAGGCCCGTGTTGATCGTCTAAGAAGGCATCCGGTCTCGAAACACCGCAACCCGGAAAGATGGCAAAACACCAAAAACCAAAACCAGAACGTCTGTGCTGGTCTATTCTGTTGTTTTGTCTTGTTGTTTGTTGTTTTGGTTTTTGTTGTCTTTTCATGTTGTTTCATATTTGTCTTATTGCTTGTTGTTCTTTTTTTGTTGGTCCTTTGTCTTTGTGAGGAGGGGACACAAAGGTTTGTAATCGAAGCGACTCATCAGCTCCAGCCTGGCAAACTCGGCGGCTTCTTGACGCCATTCTTCTCGCCTGCCATTGACAGCTCCTTACCTCGGTGCCTCCCTTCGGTGCGGATAGGGCAAGATGTTGGATTGAAAGAATGTATATACATATATGTACATACATACATACATACAAATAAGTTAATACATATATATATATACGTTGTTTGACAAATGTCGCCTCAAGAATTCGTCCCAAGCGACACCATCAATCGGCATGAAGCCAGATTTCGATGTTATGTTTGTTTCGAACTCCACGGACCTTCTTTAACTCAACACCTGTCACACTTCGCCGGGAAACTGCTGAAGAAGAACCTTCATCATGAGCGCGCTCGGCAAAAGTAAGCGTACCAAGTCTGTCACCCGAACACGACCCTTCAATCAGTTGTCTCATGTTGTCTTTCTGATATCTGACTGTCCAAACCATGGGCACTGGTACATCATACCTCCAACAAAAACAAAAGGGGCAACGGTTTAAGGAAAAAACAAAACAAAAAGCTGGTCCCTGCAGCAAAAGAAGAACATGTTTGGACCGCAATGCCGGTTCACTTGGTTCAGTGTACGTATACACATGTATGTATGTATGTATCTATGGCCCGTTGTGAGCTGCTTTCAGCTGTGTGGGACAGGTTCAGAATTTGCTTGGAGCCGCTCAGGCCTGACTCAGGGCTTTGACTTCAAGCTGAGTTTTGGTTCGCAGTTATAGTTGATCCTTTTAGGTCAGGTTCTTCACGGCCTGAAAGTGGCCCTAGGCTTACCTTTTGGCTCATTTTGGAGTTGGCCTCAGGCTGGTCAGGTCACTTTGGAGGTGCTTATTTGTTTCGGCTGTTTGGTGTTGTCTTGTCGTTGATCCAGGCGATTGGTATGTCGTACACATACAAACATGCAAAAACAAACTCCCTTCGTGTAGAAGGCATGCATACTCTGCCTTTCAGGTTAGTAATGAATCTTCATATATAATAAATTAGAGATGAGTTGCTGCAAACACCAACTAACATAAAACCTGAAAGAGGCACAAAGACTCACCATAGGGACATGTCAACCTTGACTGTGCAACCTTGACTGTGCAACCTTGACTGTGCAACCTTCGTCACCATATGTTCAATTTTGACTAATTCTGTCTTAACAAATCATGAAAGTGAACTGGGGGCCTTCCGCTAACTCGCCAAGCTTTAAACCATCTCCAGGATTCTGATGCAGTGCGCAAAAGTCCGAAAAGAAAAAGAAAGGCTAAGCCTCAGCCTCCCCAACAGGGGAGCAGCCAGCAGCTTTTTGAACCGCAAATTAGCAAACTCCAGGCCTGAGCCGGCCGCCTTTGCTTCGCCAAGCCCCACCAAGTGCGTGAGCAAGTCCTGTCGCTGTGCATTGGGCTTGTTCTGCAATCGGTTTCATGATCAAGCAACCCCCTAGGGGTGTCATTTGGTGTAGGATATATTTTTTATCGGGCCGCGTTAGATGGCAAAACAAGTATGCGTTCTGATCTCAATTTTGCTTCCATCTGCCACAGCCACAAACGACCTCTCCACCATGAGTTGTTTTTGGATGTCTTAGAACCAACTTTGCTTGTCTTTCCAACCTTCCAACAAAAGATACCTTTCCTTCTACTACCTGACCTGACCCCCGCAGAATTCAACAACGTGGTCAAAACAGGCTCGGGACCACTCCAAATGGTTGATTGCACGTTGGTGCTCTTTCAAGAACAAAGGCGTGAAGATACCTGTATATATATATATATATACACACAAATACAAGTCCCTTCCGAATCGCCATGTTTGGGCCATTTCTTGCAAAGGAACCCACCCGCGCATTTCCTTGAAACCATGTTTTGGACCCCCCCCTCCCCGTCTTTTTTGGGACTTCCCGACCAAAACGCGAGACGCGTGACCGTTTCGCCGGCGGAGACTCGACTCCGCACCTTGTGATCCCGCAGGGAGCTCTCCAGAGTGATGGAGGCCTCCAGCAGATCCTGCGCCTGGCGGTTCAGAGAGGGAAGGACCTCTACCCAAGGGGATGGGGGGGAGGTGAGGGGGGGGGTGAGGGGGGGTGAGGGGG